ATTAATAAATAAATTAAAATAAATATATGACATGCTATGTATATATATCGGTTACACACAATTTATAACGATACAAACTTGATATGACAATAATTAATAAACAAATCATTAATATTCGATAAAAACTCGTCTCCCCTTATACAATTCACATAGCTACATTTAACGACGAGAGATACACATGGTTGACACATAGAAGTCATCAAAATATAGTAATTTCATTTGAATTCAAGATACATGATTGAATTAAAAATAAATAAAAATTACACATAATAAATTATCAAAATAATTGATATATTGTAAGACGGTCCTATAAATTATTCAAAATATAAATTTTTAGATTAGGTCAGGTTGGCATCACTAATTACAACTAGAAAAATACTACAAAAAAATGCCTCTAAGCTTGATGAATCCATGAATTAACGCTCCCATAAGCCACAAGGCTCGTACATAGATGATTTGGGCGTGAAAGTGTTTTATGTTAATTCTAAGATAATTCAAGTGGTAATAGAGATGAGTTATAAATTTAGGGGTTTTAAATTTGAATTTTGACAACTCTTTAGAATTAGGCTATGATGGATTTATCTCTTATGAATACCTTAATTCCGGCATAGATGACCTGCCTTTAACAAAACTAAGAAAGATATTAGTTAAGGTACACGTGAATGGGCCGGACACCCCAGGCTATTGAAAAAAAAAATGTTTTATGTTGCTACCACATCAATATTCATAAATCGCTCGTGAATATTCTAATTCTAGTGTAAGTGGTTTGCTTTGATCGAACCGGAAAAAAAATTAGTTGAGATCGACATAAATTGACCGAGACACCCCTAACTTTTTTTAAAAAAAAAAAAATATGTTTTATTTTGCTACCACATGAATACTCATATTTATGCTTTTAAGGCAAAAAATGTACCCATGGGAACTATGCTATTTGGATGGGAAACATTGGTGTTAGACTGTCTCCTAGCAACAAAACTTTCAATTGTGGGTCTTTTAAGTTCATAAGCAATACAAAAATTCTAATTTTTTTCCTTTCTCAAACCAAAACAAAAACAAATGTTTGGATTTTTAGGTTGGGCTATTTGTATTTTGTGCTTCGTAGAAGGGGGTGCAATGAGTATTTAGGAAAAGAAAGTGAGAGGAAATTAATTTGATTCTATTTTTTACATAATGGTCCATGATATTGAAAAGTAATTTTTGAATTTTAGGGAATAACTTAAATGATAATGGGGACAAGTTATACATTCTAATATTTTGAGTTTAATTCTTGACAATCCATTGAACCTTAACTTTGACCAGACTAGTGGACATATACGTAAATTGATTTGTACATCCCTATCCGTTGAACAAAAAAAAAGTAATTTTTGACATTATACCTGAACTTGTTATCTGATAAAAAAATAAAACACGAGTAAAGTTTTTTATTATAATATTTTATTTATCTTATTATTACAAACACAATTAATCGATCAATTTCAATATGTTATGTCAATTATTTTCTTTGATATCGTACCCTTTATAATGGTTGTTGACACGTTGTATTAGGGAAATAAATCAAAAATCAAAAGGCAAGCATTGTTATTTCAAAAACTATGATGCAACATCTGCAATTTCAGTAAAATATTTTAGGTTGTGAGTGTAATTGTCCCTTCCAGAAATCAGAAGCAGATACCAATTGGAATTTGAACATATCTCTCTGACCTGTCTGTGTACATATAGATGGTTGCGATGGAGATTGAGATCAAGATTTATGTCTGAAAATACAAGTCAGAGAGAGAATGAGATCAAGATCAGTATTTGGAAAGTGATCAGGTTTGATTTTAGGTTGAGATTGAAGATAACCGGCCGCCAGTGGTGGTGGTGGTAGAGTTTCGGATCTACCTCTTATCACAGACATGCTAAGTCAGATAAAAGCTGAATATAATGAAGTGGAAATTAGGATCGAAGATAAGCAAAGAGTAGAGGCAAAANGTTTGATTTTAGGTTGAGATTGAAGATAACCGGCCGCCGGTGGTGGTGGTGGTAGAGTTTCGGATCTCCCTCTTATCACAGACATGCTAAGTCAGATAAAAGCTGAATATAATGAAGTGGAAATTAGGATCGAAGATAAGCAAAGAGTAGAGGCAAAAGGAGAAGCGATGGGAAAACAGGCAAAAAGAGCAAGCGGCAGCGATGGCGATGGCGATGGCGATGGTGGCGTTTCAGAGCTCCCTCATGACTTAATCGTCGAAGTGCTCAGAAGGCTTCCGACCAAGTCTTTAATGTCAGTGCGTGTCAAAGCTCTGGTGCTCAACTATCCGACACCCTAACTTTTTGAAGGCTCGATCCCGGTTTCGCTTCCGCGGTTTCAGGATTGAGATTCCATCTAATACTTTTTTGCTCGATTACCCGCCACTGGGGATTACTCGCAATTTCCTCCCTTAGCTAACTCCATCCTAAAAAATTGGATAGGAATACTAAAATTTTTTTGTTGTTCTATCATACCATACCTTACTATATATATATATATATATATATTAGAACAACTATAATTTTTGACGTGTTTCATATGATTTAAACCTAAAATAGTCGTTAATGTAATTATACAACAATTATGATTAATTAATATTTATGCCTCGGACTTTCTTGTGTTTCATTATAATTGTTTTACATTTTAGTGTTATTAGTTTATTATATTGTTAAATTGGTGCAAATTACTTAATTAAATTGTTAAAATGATTTAAAAATTAATAACTACAAAAACGTGTTCACCCGATTTCTTACTCGACTTCCTACTCTATTAATTTGGACAGAAGTCAGATAAAAATACTACACTTGATCGAATAGGATAGAGCAAGAAAAAATTCTTTCGTAAAGTATCAGAGTATCGGGTAAGAAGATAAAAAAACCATGTTTCCTACCCATAGGTAGGGTGAACACCCCTACCCGCCATGAAAACCCTTGACACGGAGTNATACCATACCTTACTATATATATATATATATATATATATATATATATATATATATATATATATTAGAACAATTATAATTTTTAATGTGTTTCATATGATTTAAACTTAAAATAATCGTTAATGTAATTATACAACAATTATGATTAATTAATATTTATGCCTCGGACTTTCTTATGTTTCGTTGTAATTGTTATTATAATTGTTTTACATTTTAGTGTTATTAGTTTATTATATTGTTAAATTGGTGCAGATTATTTAATTAAATTGTTAAAATGATCTAAAAATTAATAACTACAAAAAAGTGTTCACCAAATTTCTTACTCGACTTTCTACTCGATTAATTTGGACAGAAGTTAGGTAGAAATACTACACTTGATCGAATAGGATAGACAAAAAAAAAATTCTTTCGTAAAGTATCAGAGTATCAGATAGGAAGATAGAAGACCATGTTTTCTACCCATAGGTAGGGTGAACACCCCTACCCGCCATGAAAACCCTTGACACGGAGTATTTTCTACAATTTAGAGGCCATTCTTTTTGGCTATGGTTGATTGTGAGTTTCTGTGAAGGAAAGGCACGATCATAGTTTAATGTCAAGGTATTAGCTATCGATTGAGACATCATTTACTCATCAGTCACATTATTGTTTAAAGACCGATGCACATGAAAGAAGTTAAATATAATAAGAGATATATGAACTATTGTTGCAGGATATTCGACCAACTTGAACAAATTGAGTTTGATTCTGGGGCATCTCAGATGGTTTGACCGTGCATGAGATTCGTGGTTTATATGAAAAAGATATCAAGCCGAAAGTTGTTGGTCTGATCTTAATAGTTATTTGAGTAATTTGGCCTTTAATGCCATGTGTGGTTTTAGTTGTTAGTAGTCCAACGTAAATAGACATGTTATANCTTAACCGTAGATGAGATTCGTGGTTTATATGAAAAAGATATCAAACCGAAAGTTGTTGGTCTGATCTTAATAGTTATTTGAGTAATTTGGCCTTTAATGCCATGTGTGGTTTTAGTTGTTAGTAGTCCAACGTAAATAGAAATGTTATATAGGGTGAATTCCTTCCCTTTATCCTGAAAGTTTTGTAATTGTTGTTTATGGTGAGATACTTCAGACATTGATATTCTAGAACATATAGGGTGCCTATTATTTCTAAGTTAATCATCCTCANAATGTTATTTAGGGTGAATTCCTTCCCTTTATCCTGAAAGTTTTGTAATTGTTGTTTATGGTGAGATACTTCGGACATTGATATTCTAGAACATATAGGGTGCCTATTATTTCTAAGTTAATCATCCTCAAAATCCAATGATAAGATCAAAGTACATACGCCTATTCTAATATCAAGTTGTCAGCTCGTCGCAATAAGGTTTATTGAGGATGCGGATTATGTGGTCAGGTTCGAAACACCCATTTTATATGATAATGTTCACTTCGAGTCAAGTTCACACGCATTTGCTACTAAGTAAACTAGTTAGCCTTCAGGAAATTGTCAAAATAGCAGGCCTGAAAGCAAATTCCTTCCCGAAGGAGCTTTGCTGCAAATTAATAGAACCGGTTTTGCATATGAATCCATTGTCAATCCATTCACGATTGAGGAATCAGTGCGGTGCATTCTTCACAAAATGCTTTGGTTATGAAGAATTCAACAACTTGGAATCAGCTTGCTTCATAAGACAAATGGCTGAAGTCCTTGCAAATCAGGTTCGGGAACGTATCCAACAGGCTGATTTCCTTTGTCCATCTTCTTAAAGGTGATTGATATCCTAGTGATGGTAAATGCATTAAATGGGTAGGCACAATTCATGCAAGGAGTTAGTATATACGACAAATTGCAAGTTGCATAACTAAAACAACAAAAATATAACACTTTCAATTAGTACCTCTCTGTAGGAACTGCTGCCACACAATGGTTAGCCACATCAGCCCCCTTTCTACTATAGACAAGAACAGATCCCGAACAAAAATACACAACTGATTATCACATAAAAAACTAAATTTCTTACAAACAATTATCAAACACTACAATTTTCATGTTATGCAATCACTAAAAACACATGCAGTAGCAAAAAATAGAAAGACGAGGAAATGCATGGGTTCATATGCACACCGCACTTACCCCACTTGCTAGGAAATTGCAATAGCACCAGCCAACTCATCACTGCCAACTCCCACCAAATTTGTTCCAAAAACTACATTGCACTTGCTAAGAAACGACACAGTACAAAAATGGCCGAACAAAATCCTGATGTTCAATATGAGGTGGTATGTAGTCCCCTTTGTTATGAATGTTGATGGTACAGCTGTCAGGTACACTGGTAGGAGGAAGAACATTCCATGTAACCAACATCTTGATCATAGTCTTAAAAAGGTCTGGTATAGGATCAACAATTTCATTCTGCAGTATGCCTGGAGGATTACCATTTTTGTCCTGCTGCGAGAAAATTCAACCAGGTTATGAAGCTATTCCACTACAAGCCATGATATGGAAATTTACAGCTTAAAAATCAAAAGTATACAGACAGCATGGTTAGAAGAATTCACTGTCTCATAATTGAAACATCAACCAAATTGGATTATCTCATGTCCATTACCCTGCATGCACTCCTGGGATTCAGTATACATGTGCACTGCAGGAACAACGTAAACACTTAAATGCTATAGCATCTAAGACAATGCTTCCAAAATGAAACATGATCAAAAAAAATAAATGAGCCTTTCCACAAGAGAAGTGAAGTTAGTTTTCAAATTCTTAACATGTTAGTTCTAGTGAGTAGAAGTTGAGTTCAATCTTAGACCACTAAAATATAATCTTTAGTAGTCTAAGAAGTTCGCATAAAATAAGCCCTCCTTGGCAGATACATTATCCCAACAAACTTCTCATCCATAAGTAAATCAAATAGACATGTATATGATTAATGTCTTACTTCAGTGCCTAAGNTGCATAAAATAAGCCCTCCATAAGTAAATCAAATAGACATGTATATGATTAATGTCTTACTTCAGTGCCTAAGCAGGATACATTAGATATTATTTGGGCTCAGGGACAACTGAATGTTCATCAAAAGTCTGAGATAGCATCAACTTGTTGAGTTTAAACTTCAAAATCAAAGAGCGGGACTTCAGAGTAGAAGTCCAGCTAAACTATTAATATAAAACAAGTTTTTCCTTTTTCTGGATAATTAAGCAAGTTGTGCAAAACTGTCTTACAGAAAAAGCATATACCTCTTTCCTTCAAACAGGTAAAATCAATAGAATTGTCCAACATCTGGACTCTGTAATGGTGTAAATATACCTAAATTCATAGCCAATAAAGAAAGGCACAAGAAAATCCAAAAAACCAGTTTCAAGTCATGGAAGTAACATCGACTCAAGGAAAAATTGGCTAGAGCTTTCATCTGTACTGGGGATCAAAAAACTTGCAATCAAACAGTTCCATGATCCAAGTAAATAACAGCTATTATCTTCTACATATTTCTGGGACACTAAATGGATATAGGGATCTGATTGGTGAAATTGCAGGACACATAGCAGATCACTTTTATACACCAAATCAGACGGACACTTGATAGGCTACCAAAGGTTTTATATTTTTGCTATTTTAAATCTTCACAAGGTACGAGGAAGAAATAATGTCAACTCTTGTAGCTACTCTTTCTCTTTGATTTTTGATTAAGACCTGTCTTTTTTGCAAGAATTCATGAAATTCAGGATCTTAGGTTTCAACTCCTTTAATTAAACAAAACCTATATTCTTATAAACATAAATTTGTGAACAGTAATTCTAGAAATTCTGAATCCCTCAGGGACGGAACGAATTAACAGGGAAAAGTATCATCCAGAATTTCATTGCCTCCAGGCAGGAAGTAGTGTGGTTGAAAAGATCATGATACACCTGGGATAATTACCTAAATTTGCAAACTATTTTTGGGTTTTGTTGGCAGATGCAACAGGTAACCGTAGCAAGGTTGATTTGGTTCATACAATCTTCCAACTTGATTACTTTTCTCTTATTTTTCATTCTTCCTTCAGTGCTCTCAGAGTTTTTGACAAGTATTATTTCACGCAGTGAGTTATAGAGGTTACAGAAAGGATATAGGAGCAGAGCTAGTGAAGCCTTTTGTTAGGATTTTAGAGAATGACCAGAGATTTGATCGAATTTCGAAGTCCTCTAACTTTGGTAATTTAAGACTTATTGTTGGACAAAGAACAACCGAAGCTTAAAACAATCAAGAATTTCCTTAGTTACTCAAGTTATGTGAGAAAGGACAGGTTCTTAATTCAAACTCCAGGACTCTCTCTCTCTCTCTCTCCCTGTGAGTGTGTATGTGCAAGTGCGCGTGTGTGGAGTTTCTATGCCCAACACAGCACTAGTAGAAAACTTTTTCAGCCATCCTATGAGACCATATCTTAGGTGCAAGATATTATATGGAGATTTCAGACTTTCTCAAGGCGGAAGAGCGGCAAGAAGGTGATATCAAATATAGAAGATGAGATCTCTAAGGTACAGACAACAGATCATCAGAATATCATGTAGCTGCCAACTCATTGATATCCCCTCTCTAGATCCCCCCTTAAAGGCAACCTAACTGTGCTAACAAAAGTCTAACAAACAATTTTAATCCTGATCTTGGGATCCCAAATTTCAGAAGAGTCCAACAAGCCAGACCTAAAAATGTATGGAACTCATGGCCCAAAATATAATCATAGTGCACCTTGATTACTTCCGGGATCTAAATATCAAATCAAGAAACNAAAGCTTAAAACAATCAAGAATTTCCTTAGTTACTCAAGTTAAGTGAGAAAGGACAGGTTCTTAATTCAAACTCCAGGACTCTCTCTCTCTCTCTCCCTGTGAGTGTGTATGTGCAAGTGCGCGTGTGTGGAGTTTCTATGCCCAACACAGCACTAGTAGAAAACTTTTTCAGCCATCCTATGAGACCATATCTTAGGTGCAAGATATTATATGGAGATTTCAGACTTTCTCAAGGCGGAAGAGCGGCAAGAAGGTGATATCAAATATAGAAGATGAGATCTCTAAGGTACAGACAACAGATCATCAGAATATCATGTAGCTGCCAACTCATTGATATCCCCTCTCTAGATCCCCCCTTAAAGGCAACCTAACTGTGCTAACAAAAGTCTAACAAACAATTTTAATCCTGATCTTGGGATCCCAAATTTCAGAAGAGTCCAACAAGCCAGACCTAAAAATGTATGGAACTCATGGCCCAAAATATAATCATAGTGCACCTTGATTACTTCCGGGATCTAAATATCAAATCAAGAAACACCCAAAAATTTATAAACATTCTTATTCAGTTCAGGTAGCACCAACACTTGTATGACTGCTAAATGGTCGTGAATACTTGAACAGTACCACTGTGGATTTTTTTTCCGTAAGTAAAATAAGGACCAAAAAGGCCATCAAATGAGGCAAACCTGTATACATGTGAAGTCCAAAAGAAGGAAGAAAGAGATCCAAAGGACCCAAAAAACTGTCCTAAACCTCTACAAATGAACCATATTTTCAGGGCATGATTACTTAACAACAAAAAAATTAAGCACTCAAACAACAAGCACTTCATCTAGTTACTAGCCAGTGCGACTCCCTTCCTCTATTCCTCTGCTTCCACTGCTCCATATCAGACATAGGGGAACGANAAAAATTAAGCACTCAAACAACAAGCACTTCATCTAGTTACTAGCCAGTGTGACTCCCTTCCTCTATTCCTCTGCTTCCACTGCTCCATATCAGACATAGGGGAACGACAACCCTGGCATCTCGATTTCTTCTATATCTCTAGATACATATTTCATAGTTTCTAGGCTTACCATTTGTAGTGCCCGAACATGTGTCCATACCATAGAAGGACAAGTGACAGAAATTATTAGTTGACATGGTAGTGAGGCCTAATAGGATCCACCAGGATTGGTACGGATAACAGTGCCGTGACAGCATTCTATCGCTGTGGTGGGCATCAGCCCCGTGACAAGCACCCAATGCCGTAGAAAGGGCAGGACACATCTTCATCACATTGAAAGTGACAAAATGGACCCTTGATCAAGGATGAACAAGAGTGGCACTATGGAGGTCTGGGGGCAACCTTGGTGTGACTTGCCTCCCCCCTGCAGAAACAGACGCAAGGTTAATTGGTATCCACAACCTACTGGACACTATTGCTCAACTAGCCCATTGGACTAAGAGGAGGGGTCCCCACTTGGCCTAGTGACAGGGCAACACGATTCAAAGTATCGACCAAGACCGATACGACTCGGCCAAGTCTCGGCTACTACCGATATGATACTGATACATGATACGAAAAAATCCCAATTCTCGTTCGAAACAATTCTAACTCAGCCCAACTCAATGGAATTGCCGATTCGCATCCGATTCTAATTGAGCCACACAGCATCGTTCAAGCACAGCCAAGAGCCACCACAGGCTAAGAACATGCCAGAAAAAAGGAAAAAGAGAGGATAGAACAAGACCCACAAAGCAACTCACGATCACAGGAAGAAGAAGGAAAGAAGGCTTCTCTTCTTCTCTGCTCTCTGATCTGTCTTTTCTCTCTTCTTCTTTTTTTTTTTTCCAGCCCTTATTCCCTATATCCCCCAAGTATCTGAGTCGTATCCGACTTCAAAAAATCTAAGTTCACTGTTCAGGACTCTTGTAGAAGTGTCGAACACGTGTCTGGCCGTATCCCACGGGTATACCAGTCAGACACGTGTTTGACATCACCACGTCGAACTCCGGCGATGTGTCCGTGCTTCCTAGCTAGCAACACATTCCTGTAAAGCATCACAGTAAGCATAAAGCCCCATCTTCCTCTCCCTCATCTTTTTCTTCTTTGCAGCATATTCCTATTGCAAGAACCATAACATTGTCGAACCTGTAGGTCCCTACAACAATGATTAACCGAAGCTGCATCTTAGACTAGAGCTTTCAACAACCAGCCAGATTGAGTCTCTCTCTCTCTTTGTTTCCCCCAACCCTTTTTGGCATGTGCTCTCTCGCTCTCGTCTGGGGAAGGAACAACAGAGTCAAGTCCCTGTCTCTGACCTAGACTGACAACTTACTCCCCCCTTTCCTCTCTTTCTCAAACCCAAATATAATAACACTGTCATTTTTTTCTCATTCTTCTAATTTATATTTTTTCTATTATTTACCACATAATCTAATTAAAACTAAAAAAATATATTTTTTTCTATTATTTACCACATAATTTAATTAGAACTTAATTGTTAAAAAAATACTTTATCAAGTACACTTATATTTTCAGTAACACCCTTATTGTTCTTTTTAACAATGATTAATGTGTCAAACAATGTATCTTTGGAGATATGATGCATGAATAATAGCCTTTACATTTGTTATACTTTTTCACAATTTTTTTAAATTTTTTCTATATAGTGTTTTGAGTATATTGGCCGATACCGCCCCGCTATGACGCGACCGATGTGTTTCATTGGCCTCCAAGTTAATGATAGACACAGCGACCTTGAATCATATAGGGTAGTATGACCCTCCTTAAGGGAGAACTATGCAATGAGGGTGGATAACCCTGATTGTCAACCTCAGCCTAGGACAAGGTCTCAAAGGTATAGTTTGCTCGAGAAAGCCTCCCAGTGCATGACTCACTACTCACTNTTCTTTTTGTTTCCCCCAACCCTTTTTGGCATGTGCTCTCTCGCTCTCGGCTGGGGAAGGAACAACAGAGTCAAGTCCCTGTCTCTGACCTAGACTGACAACTTACTCCCCCCTTTCCTCTCTTTCTCAAACCCAAATATAATAACACAGTCATTTTTTTCTCATTCTTCTAATTTATATTTTTTCTATTATTTACCACATAATCTAATTAAAACTAAAAAAATATATTTTTTTCTATTATTTACCACATAATTTAATTAGAACTTAATTGTTAAAAAAATACTTTATCAAGTACACTTATATTTTCAGTAACACCCTTATTGTTCTTTTTAACAATGATTAATGTGTCAAACAATGTATCTTTGGAGATATGATGCATGAATAATGGCCTTTACATTTGTTATACTTTTTCACAATTTTTTTAAATTTTTTCTATATAGTGTTTTGAGTATATTGGCCGACACCGCCCCGCTATGACGTGACCGATGTGTTTCATTGGCCTCCAAGTTAATGATAGACACAGCGACCTTGAATCATATAGGGTAGTATGACCCTCCTTAAGGGAGAACTAAGCAATGAGGGTGGATGAGCCTGATTGTCAACCTCAGCCTAGGACAAGGTCTCAAAGGTATAGTTTGCTCGAGAAAGCCTCCGAGTGCATGACTCACTACTCACTGGGATGTGTTTTGACTAGAATCCAGAGGGACTCCTAAGATAACTAGGATTATTAGTTCAGATCAACATATGGGATAATGAGAAATGTGAATTGAAGGATGAAGGACCAAAACTATGTGAGTTTTCTCTATTGTGTACATTGACAAAGGTCTCGAGAAAAGGGTTTAGAGAAGAAAGGGAGGATCCTAGGCAGAAGCATGCCGAGGGCATTGCGTACATGACTTCTCAAGGTCATGATCCCGCAATGACCAATCGTGATCATTAACCTTCAGAGCTAGCGTCCAAGCTATATTTGGGAAAACATCACATCTGCCTAGACACGTGGTATCACCGTTGTCGAAAAAGTTGTGAGTTGACGTAAGTGTCAAAAGGTCGCANGGCCTTTACATTTGTTATACTTTTTCACAATTTTTTTAAATTTTTTCTATATAGTGTTTTGAGTATATTGGCCGACACCGCCCCGCTATGACGTGACCGATGTGTTTCATTGGCCTCCAAGTTAATGATAGACACAGCGACCTTGAATCATATAGGGTAGTATGACCCTCCTTAAGGGAGAACTAAGCAATGAGGGTGGATGAGCCTGATTGTCAACCTCAGCCTAGGACAAGGTCTCAAAGGTATAGTTTGCTCGAGAAAGCCTCCGAGTGCATGACTCACTACTCACTGGGATGTGTTTTGACTAGAATCCAGAGGGACTCCTAAGATAACTAGGATTATTAGTTCAGATCAACATATGGGATAATGAGAAATGTGAATTGAAGGATGAAGGACCAAAACTATGTGAGTTTTCTCTATTGTGTACATTGACAAAGGTCTCGAGAAAAGGGTTTAGAGAAGAAAGGGAGGATCCTAGGCAGAAGCACGCCGAGGGCATTGCGTACATGACTTCTCAAGGTCATGATCCCGCAATGACCAATCGTGATCATTAACCTTCAGAGCTAGCGTCCAAGCTATATTTGGGAAAACATCACATCTGCCTAGACACGTGGTATCACCGTTGTCGAAAAAGTTGTGAGTTGACGTAAGTGTCAAAAGGTCGCAGTGGGAGCACTGTGCTATAAATACATACATTACTTGTCCACTGCAGAAAAGAATTTCTACTTGGCTGGTGAGAGCATTTACTCCATCTACTCTCTACCCAAATGGTTGGTCCTTTCGTTAATAGGTTGCTCGACTTTCTTACATCCCATCCACTTATCCTATTCATCCCCTTTGATTGACCATGACGTAGACACGTGTGTCAGCCTCTTTTAACTCCCCACCTACACCAGTTAATTATGAGTTAAATTTATAGTGTTACGCTGCTCCATCATAAAAGAAAAATGGCAATACTCCAAAGGAGGCAGAAATTTACCAAGAAATCTATCACAACATCAACATGTGGGTCAAAGAAAGCCTTTGCATAAAACACCAGGTCAATTCTACACCACAAAGATTGGGAAAAATATAAATTTTCTCTTTTTTATGTTATTGATAAATAAGGATAGGCCAAATTTCATACCTTAGATAACCCACCGACTAGGAACACAAATGTTTTCAAAACCAGCCTNATTGACAAAGGTCTCGAGAAAAGGGTTTAGAGAAGAAAGGGAGGATCCTAGGCAGAAGCACGCCGAGGGCATTGCGTACATGACTTCTCAAGGTCATGATCCCGCAATGACCAATCGTGATCATTAACCTTCAGAGCTAGCGTCCAAGCTATATTTGGGAAAACATCACATCTGCCTAGACACGTGGTATCACCGTTGTCGAAAAAGTTGTGAGTTGACGTAAGTGTCAAAAGGTCGCAGTGGGAGCACTGTGCTATAAATACATACATTACTTGTCCACTGCAGAAAAGAATTTCTACTTGGCTGGTGAGAGCATTTACTCCATCTACTCTTTACCCAAATGGTTGGTCCTTTCGTTAATAGGTTGCTCGACTTTCTTACATCCCATCCACTTATCCTATTCATCCCCTTTGATTGACCATGACGTAGACACGTGTGTCAGCCTCTTTTAACTCCCCACCTACACCAGTTAATTATGAGTTAAATTTATAGTGTTACGCTGCTCCATCATAAAAGAAAAATGGCAATACTCCAAAGGAGGTAGAAATTTACCAAGAAATCTATCACAACATCAACATGTGGGTCAAAGAAAGCCTTTGCATAAAACACCAGGTCAATTCTACACCACAAAGATTGGGGAAAATATAAATTTTCTCTTTTTTATGTTATTGATAAATAAGGATAGGCCAGATTTCATACCTTAGATAACCCACCGACTAGGAACACAAATGTTTTCAAAACCAGCCTTATGCACATATCATGACTCACAAAGTG